AGTCTATGGATTTAAAGTTGAAGTTGCTGACTACCAACAGTCGTGATCCATCTTTATCAGCTCTCACTATAATCCTTCTCATTATTGTTATAAGACCCTCTCGTTTATTATCTAGTTCCTCCTTTGACGATGTGTTGTATGATGGTAGACTATGCATTTATGATCGTTAGTTTATCATCCTGATTGCAGATCTCTTAGTGCTATTATGTCAACGTCTCGTTTACCTTTGTGTGTGTTTTCACCAGCACAGCAATGCCACCGCCTTTCCTAATTTTTCTGTCTCATCTCCAGACTGAGTAGCCCCTTGGGAATATGACCTCATTTAAAATATCTTCAAGTTTTTTTTGTGTGTACTCACCTAGTTGTACTCACCTAGTTGTGTTTGCGGGGGGTTGAGCTCTGGCTCTTTGGTCCCGCCTCTCAACCGTCAATCAACAGGTGTACAGATTCATGAGCCTATCGGGCTCTGTCATATCTACACTTGAAACTGTGTATGGAGTCAGCCTCCACCACATCACTTCCTAATGCATTCCATTTGTCAACCACTCTGACACTAAAAAAGTTCTTTCTAATATCTCTGTGGCTCATTTGGGCACTCAGTTTCCACCTGTGTCCCCTTGTGCGTGTTCCCCTTGTGTTAAATAGACTGTCTTTATCTACCCTATCAATCCCCTTCAGAATCTTGAATGTGGTGATCATGTCCCCCCTAACTCTTCTGTCTTCCAGCGAAGTGAGGTTTAATTCCCGTAGTCTCTCCTCGTAGCTCATACCTCTCAGCTCGGGTACTAGTCTGGTGGCAAACCTTTGAACCTTTTCCAGTTTAGTCTTATCCTTGACTAGATATGGACTCCATGCTGGGGCTGCATACTCCAGGATTGGCCTGACATATGTGGTATACAAAGTTCTGAATGATTCTTTACACAAGTTTCTGAATGCCGTTCGTATGTTGGCCAGCCTGGCATATGCCGCTGATGTTATCCGCTTGATATGTGCTGCAGGAGACAGGTCTGGCATGATATCAACCCCCAAGTCTTTTTCCTTCTCTGACTCCTGAAGAATTTCCTCTCCCAGATGATACCTTGTATCTGGCCTCCTGCTCCCTACACCTATCTTCATTACATTACATTTGGTTGGGTTAAACTCTAACAACCATTTGTTCGACCATTCCTTCAGCTTGTCTAGGTCTTCTTGAAGCCTCAAACAGTCCTCGTCTGTTTTAATCCTTCTCATAATTTTAGCATCGTCCGCAAACATTGAGAGAAATGAATCGATACCCTCCGGGAGATCATTTACGTATATCAGAAACAAGATAGGACCGAGTACAGAGCCCTGTGGGACTCCACTAGTGACTTCACGCCAATCGGAGGTCTCACCCCTCACCGTAACTCTCTGCTTCCTATTGCTTAGATACTCCCTTATCCACTGGAGCACCTTACCAGCTACACCTGCCTGTCTCTCCAGCTTATGTACCAGCCTCTTATGCGGTACTGTGTCAAAGGCTTTCCGACAATCCAAGAAAATGCAGTCCGCCCAGCCCTCTCTTTCTTGCTTAATCTGTGTCACCTGATCGTAGAATTCTATCAAGCCTGTAAGGCAAGATTTACCCTCCCTGAATCCATGTTGGCGATTTGTCACGAAGTCCCTTCTCTCCAGATGTGTTACCAGGTTTTTTCTCACGATCTTCTCCATCACCTTGCATGGTATACAAGTCAAGGACACTGGCCTGTAGTTCAGTGCCTCTTGTCTGTCGCCCTTTTTGTATATTGGGACCACATTCGCCGTCTTCCATATTTCTGGTAGGTCTCCCGTCTCTAGTGACTTACTATACACTATGGAGAGTGGCAGGCAAAGTGCCTCTGCACACTCTTTCAGTACCCATGGTGAGATCCCATCTGGACCAACAGCCTTTCTAACATCCAGATCCAGCAGGTGTCTCTTGACCTCCTCTCTCGTAATTTCGAACTCCTCCAAGGCCGCCTGGTTTACCTCCCTTTCTCCTAGCACAGTGACCTCACCCTGTTCTATTGTGAAGACCTCCTGGAACCTCTTGTTGAGTTCCTCACACACCTCTCTGTCATTCTCTGTATACCTGTCCTCGCCTGTTCTAAGTTTCAATACCTGTTCTTTCACTGTTGTTTTCCTTCTGATGTGACTGTGGAGTAGCTTTGGTTCGGTCTTGGCTTTGTTTGCTATATCATTTTCAAAATTTTTCTCTGCTTCTCTTCTCACCCTGACGTACTCATTCCTGGTTCTCTGGTATCTCTCTCTGCTTTCTGGTGTTCTGTTATTCCGGAAGTTCCTCCACGCCTTTTTGTTCAGTTTCTTCGCTTCCATACATGCCCTATTATACCATGGATTCTTCTGTTGCTTCTCGGATTTTTCCCTTTGGGCCGGGATGAACCTGTTTACTGCCTCCTGACACTTTTGGGTAACATAGTCCATCATACCCTGTACAGACTTGTCTCTGAGGTCTGTGTCCCAAGGTATTTCACTTAGGAAACTTCTCATCTGTTCGTAATTCCCCTTTCGGTATGCCAGCCTTTTGATTCCTAGTTCTTTTTGGGGGGAGATAAGTCCTAGCTCTACCAGGTACTCAAAGTTCAATACACTGTGGTCACTCATTCCCAAGGGCGCTTCCATCTTAACTTCCCTTATATCCCATTCATTTAGGGTAAATATCAAATCAAGCATTGCTGGTTCATCTTCTCCTCTCATTCTTGTTGGTTCTTTGGTGTGCTGGCTAAGAAAGTTTCTTGTTGCCACGTCCAGCAGCTTAGCTCTCCATGTTTCTGGTCCTCCATGCGGGTCTCTGTTCTTCCAATCTATCTTCCCATGGTTGAAGTCTCCCATAATTAGTAGTCCAGATCCATTCCTGCTAGCAACAGAAGCTGCTCTTTCTATTATGTTAATGGTGGCCATGTTGTTTCTATCATATTCCTGTCTAGGTCTTCTGTCATTTGGTGGTGGATTATATATGACTGCGACTATAATTTTTTTCCCTCCATTTGTTACAGTACCTGCTATGTAGTCACTGAAACCTTCGCAGCCCTGAATATCCATCTCCTCAAAATCCCAGCCTTGTCTTACCAGCAGAGCTACACCACCCCCACCTCTTCCTTCCCTCTCTTTCCTCATAACATAATAGTCCTGTGGGAACACTGCATTTGTTATCGTTTTCGATTTTGTGTGTGCGTGTGTGTGTGTATATATATATATATATATATATATATATATATATATATATATATGTCGTACTAGTAGCCAGAACTCACTTCTCAGCCTACTATTCAAGGCCCGATTTGCCTAATAAGCCAAGTTTTCCTGAATTAATATATTTACTATAATTTTTTTCTTATGAAATGATAAAGCAACCCTTTTCTCTATGTATGAGGTCAATTTTTTTTTATTGGAGTTAAAATTAACGTAGATATATGACCGAACCTAACCAACCCTACCTAACCTAACCTAACCTATATTTATAGGTAAGGTTAGGTTAGGTAGCCAAAAAAAGCTAGGTTAGGTTAGGTTAGGTAGACGAAAAAACATTAATTCATGAAAACTTGGCTTATTAGGCAAATCGGGCCTTGAATAGTAGGCTGAGAAGTGCGTTCTGGCTATTAGGTACGACATATATATATATATATATATATATATATATATATATATGTATATATATATATATATATATATATATATATATATATATATATATATATATATATATATATATATATATATATATATATATATATATATATATATATATTATATATAATTATTTTATAATATAAAATTATTGCATGTGTGGGGTGGGTGGGTGGTGGGAAGAGATGATAAACCTACCTTGATTTTGTTTCAGGGACAAATCAGCTTTGTATGGACGAGTGCTGGCAGAAGGAGAGAAGCCTTCCTGGCCCTAGCAATCACTTGCCATCTCATGAAACCAAGTAAATACATGTGAATTAAGGAAGTTAATAAAATGTACAGTATGTAATAAGTTTCTGAATAAATTATGAAATATTAGTGTCTTCTTAAAGGAGCCTATGAATTGGGTGGTATTTTATAGGAAATTTATTTTATTTTATTTATTTATTTATTTTAGAATGAGTATAGAAAACACTAGCTGATAAATTTAGGAAAGAAAATTTCAACATGGTCCATGTGTTCAGTAAAAAAAAAAATTCCTCGCATTGTATGAGAATTTGGTCAATTGTTAAACCTGGAGAGATATGGAACAAGGCTGGTTATCAACTGAGGAAACTGACTTAGTCAAAATGATAAGGATATTCTACCTTGCCAAAGAAAGAAAGAAATAAGTGGGATAAGTCTGGGTTTTAACATTTATATTTACAGTATGGTACTTAGAAAATATGGTAGATAATGCTTTCTAAAAAAGCAAAGAGCCACAGAAGGATTTACATGATAATTAATACTAGTCATTAAGATGTACAGTATCCCAATTTGGTACATTATTTTAACATTAACATTATTCAATAGCTACATTGAGAATGCTCATCATGAATTGAATTGTAGAGTACTTTGGGTTTTAGCCAAAATGTACATCTATTAAAATGGCACAGTTACCCCAATGGCAATTTTGTTTTCCACTTTATATCTCGAGCACCTCATTTGTTGCAAGTCATTGCAATAACACACTAATTAAACAGTTTGCTTTTGTTATTGTACAGTGAAGTTTATTGGCAACTAATTAAAAGCACTGGTTTTTGTTCCTGAATTTCTTACTATAAATTTAGAGGCAAGTCGGTTTTACCAGTTACTGTTACCCAACCCACCAACACCCATCTCATATATTGATACTTTGCCTTTCATTTTTTGTTTTCAGAAAGTAAAGAAAGCAGTTTGCATAGATTTTCTGTATGAAAATTAACTATATAATGTTTGGGAAATTGTTGTACTTTACTGTTGCCACTGCAGTACTTTTAAGGAATACAACATAGAAGTATCAAATAATTGATTAACAGGTTAACAATAATACAGAAGCTTGTTTGAATTTATTAAGGATTTTAATTTATTGATTCTTCATGACTCTCTTCATCTGTACTTCAATAGCCTTTTTCAAGCTTGAAGAGTGACTCTTGATAATTAACTGGAGGTTTTCATGGTTTATATGCTGTCCCATCTTCTTCATCACAAATAAAAGACAATGACCAAATTTTACAGAAGTCTTGTATTTCTCACAAGTTTTACTTAAAAATGTAAGGACAGCAGTGTGTGTTGCAGAGGATTGTTGATCGGCATGTTCACATAACAGATGAAAAATCTGCACATCAACATCACACACCGATTCTCGTATAGAGATGGCACTGAAAAAAAAAATTAAAATTAAAGGTACAGTACTGAATATTACACATGCAACAAATATCTAAATATGACTTAAGAATATTCAAAGTACAAATTGAACAAGACATAGAGCTGAAAAGGTGAAGAAACATGTTTAGTAGATTTTATTGATGACACATCTGTAAACTTTCAAATAAACCCTTGTAAGGAAAAAATAGTATAAACACCTGTCTACAAGTAAAGTGCCATTTAGGTAATCATTAATCTATATGCTGTGATGTGTTCAAGAGCATGGACATAATGGTAGTGCCAACAGGAGGATCAGTGTGCTTTTAATCCATACCAGAATCCATTATCTTTAGGTATGTAGTTTGTATATCCAAATCTTGGGGCAATTTACCATTGCTGCCCTATTTCCAACTCCTCAACTCTTGCAAACCAGTTAGGAATACATACTTTACAAATTATATGCAATATTTGTATTTTTCTATTTTGATTGTAAACGTATTGTATCATACAACCCTGAACGTGAGCTTTATTTCATTCTTTTCTTGTATTTTTTTTTTGGTACTCATGGCTTTAAAAAACATCAAGCAGCTTGTTAAAAGTAGCTATTCTCAGGTTTGCATGGGATAAATTCCAAAACACCATTAATTCACTATTCCAATATCACTTCATTGCAATAACATTGTTTTTTCCCCATAAGATCCAGAAGGATCTTACGGGAAAACTTGAATGTACGGACCTAAAATTTCATTACTACCCCCATTTTCCAGGTTCATAGGGTAGGGAGGCATCAGTATGTTAAGAAATTAAGTATAAATATATATAATATATATACACCCCAACCTTTGCCATTCCTGCATACAGTACTACATTGGAGCAGTCACACTAGCACTAAATCTACAGCAGTGTTCCTCATTGCTTCACACAACCAGGTTAAAGTGCTTTCTAAACGCTATTTAAAAAAAGTCAATTGATTTAATCGCTTAATTTCCTCTTAGTCTTATTTCCACTTGGCAACTTCATGTAACGAAAAATTGCTTCATTGGATTAATATTGAACCCAATGTAAAGATGACAAAATTATATTTAATAATACTGTAGAAACCCGCTAATCCGGAATCCACCTATCCAGAAAATGCCCTAATCTGGCAAAAATCATGGCTGGATTAAGTTATCTCCCTATCCGGCCAAAATATCCATGGAAGTCGGACTAGCGGATATTTGGCTGGATCGGAAATCTGAGCCAGTTAACTTGCTACCGATGTTACCCAATCCGGACACGCGATGAATAGTCCGGATCAGAAAAGCAGCCATCGGGCCATGCCGTATTAATCCCGTCCGGCTGTGGCTCGAGGTGCATGGTGTAGGAGGTGAGGTGGGTGGGTGGTGTCGGAGAGAGGGGAGCGTTGGGACTGCCTAGGTGGATAAGGGGGATGTGGAAGGGCCTATACACTACAGTAATTACCATTAATTTTAGAACAATTCATCACAGTCAAAAACAAAAGAAATAACTATATACTGTAATAACAAATATACAAGTTTCCTAAAAAACAATTTGCACAGGCTGAAGTTTGCTCCAAAAATATTGTGAGTTTTTTCCGCCTGGCGGCCTACATAACGTGCCTGCCTGCCTGCCCCAAGTGCACCCGTCCAGGCCTGGTCAAACCAAACCGTTCATGTGCTCCCGTACCTCATGTTATACCACAGTGCCGCGCCATTAGTGAAACATTTTTTTAAATAACTTTTTTTGTTTTCATAGTAACTTTTATCATTTTTGGCCAAGGTGCGTGATCGTCTAATCCACCGCACCGTGATCACGGTACACAGTACCGTGATCCACCGCACCAATGATCGTCTAATAGACGATTATTGGTGCGGTGGTCACGGTACTGTGTACGTTTAGGGGTGATCCGGAACGGCATGGGTTCGAATCCTGGCCGGGTCAAAGAGTTCTTAGTGATTATATATATATACTGTCTCCACTCGATCATCCGGACTATATGGGAAGGACCCCCAGCCGGATTATCACATTTTTTGGATAATGGTACTTTTTCACCTACGAGTCCAAAAGTGACCATTTCCAACTTTTTTTATACTACAAACAACATAATTTGAATTGCCTTGCCACATACAATTATTAAATATTCAACTAGAAACCTCAACTTACCTTGTTGGTGTTCGTCTTCTTGATTGATGCCACACATCTTGAAGTTAAAAATTCTTAACAATTTACGTAACCTATACTAACACAACACTAAAATTAACACTTAAAATTACTGTACAGTTCATTAAGCTAAGTTAGTTTTGACTGCCAGCTGCTGAAGCCTCACTGGTTGAGGGCATTTGGGTTGCCTGTGAGGCCTCACTTGTTGAAGGTGCTTGCTTGCACCTCACTTGTTGAAGGCGCTTGGCTTGCCTGTGACGCCTCACTTGTTAAAGGCGCTTGCTTGCGCCTCACTTGTTGAAAGCGCTTGGCTTGCCTGTGGCGCGTCACTTGTTGAAAGCGCTTGGTTTGCCTATAATGCCTCACTTGTTGCAGGAGCTTGGCTTGCCTGTGGTGCCTCACTTGTTGAAGGCGCTTGGCTGCCTGTGACGCCTCACTGTTTGAACAACACGTAACTTGTCTTTAATTGCTAGGACAATCTTCTTCCTCTTAACACTTCCAGAACGATTGATGCTGCTACCAGACATATTCTTGGCCAAAAATGTTCAAAATTACTATGAAAATTAAGAAAGTTATTTAAAAAAATATTTCACTAATGGCACAGCACTGTGTATAACACGAGGGATGGACGCACATGGGTTGACAAGTGTTGGACAGGTCCACTTGGGGCAGCCATAGCGTTACGTAGGCCGCCAGGAGGAAAAAAATTCACAATATTTTTGAAGGAAACTTCAGCCTGTGCACAATGCTTTTAGGAAACTTATTTATTTGTTATTACATAATTACTAGTAGTTATTTTATTTGTTTTTGGCTATGATTAATTGTTCTAAAATTAATGGTAATTCCTGTACCCAGGTAGTCCCTCCTGACGCACCCCTCCCAACACCACCCACCCACCCCACCCCCACCTACACCATGCGCCTCGAGTCTCGGGCAGACGGGATTAATACCGTATGGCCCGCCTCATGTTTTCATATACGGACAAAGGCACGATTATCTGGGGGACTGACCGGATAGTGTAATTTCTGCAGAAAACCTGCTTTAATCCGGTCCCTGTGGCTATTTTGGCCAGATATTGTGATAACTTTATCCGTTCACGATTTTGGCCGTATAAAGGCGTTTTTCGGATGTTCGAATCCCGGATAATCGCGGGGTTACAGTATTACTATATTTTGGTAGCAGTCTTTCCTGTAAACATATATTATTAAATATGACCGAAAAAGTAAGATTAATAATTCTAACACGAATTTTCTCAATCTTTCGTACATTTCTTTTCACTGTTGGAGGTAATTCAAAAATCAATTCTCCAAAATTCATTTTTATTTCTAGTCTGACGCGACACTTGAGCGCGTTTCGTAAAACTTATTACATTTTCAAAGACTTTACACATACACAACTGAATAGAACTTACATATCTCCGATTTCTTTATATCTACATATGAGTGAGGTGGATGGGGTGAGGTGGTATTTAATAGGGTATTAATTTCATCAACACAAGACAGAACACGAAACAATGGGTATTGAAATGGAAGTGATTGTAGAAAGCCTATTGGTCCATATTTCTTGATGCTTCTATATTGGAGCGGAGTCTTGAGGTGGGTAGAATATAGTTGTGCATTAATTGGCTGTTGATTGCTGGTGTTGACTTCTTAATGTGCAGTGCCTCGCAAACGTCAAGCCGTCTGCTATCGCTGTATCTATCGATGATTTCTGTGTTGTTTACTAGGATTTCTCTGGCGATGGTTTGGTTGTGGGAAGACATTATATGTTCCTTAATGGAGCCCTGTTGCTTATGCATCGTTAAACGCCTAGAAAGAGATGTTGTTGTCTTGCCTATATACTGGGTTTTTTGGAGCTTACAGTCCCCAAGTGGGCATTTGAAGGCATAGACGACGTTGGTCTCTTTTAAAGCGTTCTGCTTTGTGTCTGGAGAGTTTCTCATGAGTAGGCTGGCCGTTTTTCTGGTTTTATAGTAAATCGTCAGTTGTATCCTCTGAATTTTGTCTGTAGGGATAACGTTTCTATTAACAATATCTTTCAGGACCCTTTCCTCCATTTTATGAGCTGTGGAAAAGAAGTTCCTGTAAAATAGTCTAATAGGGGGTATAGGTGTTGTGTTAGTTGTCTCTTCAGAGGTTGCATGGCGTTTTACTTTCCTTCTTATGATGTCTTCGACGAAACCATTGGAGAAGCCGTTGTTGACTAGGACCTGCCTTACCCTACAGAGTTCTTCGTCGACTTGCTTCCATTCTGAGCTGTGGCTGAGAGCACGGTCGACATATGCGTTAACAACACTCCTCTTGTACCTGTCTGGGCAGTCGCTGTTGGTATTTAGGCACATTCCTATGTTCGTTTCCTTAGTGTAGACTGCAGTGTGGAAACCTCCGCTCTTTTCCATGACTGTTACATCTAGAAAGGGCAGCTTCCCATCCTTTTCCATCTCGTAAGTGAAACGCAGCATGGAACTCTGCTCAAATGCCTCCTTCAGCTCCTGCAGATGTCTGACATCAGGTACCTGTGTAAAAATGTCGTCAACATACCTGCAGTATATGGCCGGTTTCAAGTTCATGTCGACTAAGACTTTTTGCTCCATGGTACCCATGTAGAAGTTTGCAAACATGACATCTAGGGGAGAACCCATGGCGACCCCATCTACTTGCTTATACATGTGCCCATCCGGGCTCAAGAAGGGTGCCTCTTTAGTACAAGCTTGGAGTAGTTTCCTCAGAATATTTTCTCAAATGTAGATATAAACAAATCGGAGATATGTAAGTTCTATTCAGTTGTGTATGTGTAAAGTCTTTGAAAATGTAATAAGTTTTACGAAACGCGCTCAAGTGTCGCGTCAGACTAGAAATAAAAATGAATTTTGGAGAATTGATTTTTGAATTACCTCCAACAGTGAAAAGAAATGTACGAAAGATAGATGATCCAATTTCAACTGCTCTTAATTCTTAATTTTTTGCATTCATACCACGTAATAGTCTTGAAACAACACAGTACTTAAGAATCAGCACCACTACTACTACTACATGCTGAGTAATGGCTGTATCCATAACACTTTTGTTTTCCTGGCTTGGGCTTTTATTGCCCCCTTTTTCAAGACTAACTTAAATAAAGCATTCTAATAGACAAAGCAATTAAGATTTAAAATTTAATAACCCTTCAACTGTGCCAGTCAACAAATGTCATTTTTTGTTTTGAGAGTTGTCCATTTTTTTAATTAGCCTATATTTTAATGTTTTTTAATGTTTTCATCACTGTTTTGAAATGAAAATAGTTTAGTTTGGAAACATTTTGACATTAACTTTACCTAAACTTTTGTAAAAACAACAAAAATATGTCCTTAACAATTGTACTTTGAAGTTTTTGCCAATAACAGGTGCGCAGTGCAGGGGTTAAAGTGGTTTGTGCATTAGTGAATCAAGTCCCACAAGGGCAAATTGCATAACTAGAGGAACAAGTACCTTAGCAGTTGTGTAACATGACGAGGTGAGCATGCAGACATGAGGCGTGCCAGGGCATCTCTGTGCTGCTCTCCTGTCTCTGGACAGTACTGCAGAAGAGGCACCAAAACCTGGGTCACAGTCACTTCTGGGTGACAGTGAATGAATTCTGACAAGGCATCAGCAACTGGTGTAGATAACTTGCTGGGCAGGTGGTATAGCTGTGTGCAGAAGGAAGTTATTTGTGGTCAATTAATATTATATTTGTCTTAAACCAATTCTGTAGATAGCTTTATAGTATCCTTAACAAAACTGTGTGTGCTGTCTGTTTATTTGTAATAGCAATAAGTAGGCCTGTCTAGGGAATGATAGAAGGTTTGAAAATATATACAATGTGGTTAGTGGGCAATCAACAAATAAAGAGCATGGAGGTAATATAAAATTAATGACATAAGAACAATGGTAAGATAAATGTTAGAGATCAACTGGCAAAAAGCTTTTGATAGATCTTTCATTGTGCAACTGCAACAGTAGAAATTTGAAGAAACAAGAAAGTTTGGAAACAACTCAAATGATAAAATAAGTTTGTTGAAAGATGAAAGTGCATTAACTGTATTTAAATTACTGATTACAAAATGAAATACCTATACACATTATGGATAAACAAACACTGCCCCACAAACACTTGAAATACACTTTCTTCACCAGTCTACTATCGTCCATTCATTCAATATGACCAAACTATCTCTGTACGCTCCTCAATCTTAAAATACAGTAATATACATACATATGCATACATGCATGCATAAATACATACCATGAATTGGCTACAGTTTCTAGAAAAGATTTACTGTAACTAAAACCCAATTGTTGAAACAATTAAAATAAAAAATATATTTTCAAAGTGAAACAGTACTACATCTCAGAGTGCAGTATGTAGTACAGTACTATATTACAACAGACCAGCAGAGTAGGCATATGTTGAAAAAAATATAAAAATGTTGACTTAATGCTAAAACTTGAAAAGGATATGACAAAATAATTTGGATAAAAATTCCATGTGTCAACATTACTGCTCCAAACTGACCTTACAAGAGCTGCAGCCTACAAGTAACATGGCAAGAATGTGCACATGGCATATCCATGGACTATGATATGCTAAAGGTTAAGGTTCCACCCAGACTCACCATGAATCTGGAGGTGCCAAGCTGGTAACCAATCCAAGTTTTACATGTAACCTGCATATACACTGGTGAAGGTAATTTTAACGCTGGTTTGATTATGCCATTCTGCTCCAAAGATTTTCTCAAATATATCATGTTAGGTGATTTCATTATGTATTTGATGGGAGCATTTGGTAGAGAATATTACCGACAGCAAAGTGTATGTGGGTTACATGTAAAACTTGGATTGGCTACCAACTCGGTGCCTCCAGATTCCTAGTAGGTCTGGGCAAATTCAAGGTTTGATCCCACAGCCCTGCTGCAAATATTTTCTCAAGGCTCTTATCATTAAATATTTTGGAACAAAAATTAATACATTGTAAATGTGTAGATATAAAATACAGGACAATTCTTTTCCAATTCAACATGGAGGACATTGGAGAGCGAAAAACATTCCATCTAAAATTTTACTAAACATCATGCAATTTATATCCATTAAATTTATAGCACTTTCACTTTATAAATGAACAATTATTTATTTTATTGCAGAAATTATTGTTTATTAAAAAAAAAGAGCTAATACTGTATATAAACAGTGTTGTATTTAAAATATTGAAAACATTTACCTTTGGTAATATAAAAAGTGTTCCCAGTATACCTGCTAGAGTATCATCTGATTTTTCGCTCTTTTTACAAATGTTAAACAAAACTTCATCACTGATCATTTTAACACCATTGTTGCATACAGTGAGGGGTTCAATTGATATATAGGGCTCCAAGTTCACTTTTTCAGAACTGTTTAGAGAACTTATCATATTTTTCTGCATTGTCTCGACATCAAATACACTGGATAGCTGGCAATTTTTCACAGTGGAAGCTTTCAAAGGCAAGGTAGTGCTGGTATTTAATTTAATCTTCTTATGAACAAGCTCTTCTTTGTTTGCATCTTGCTGAATATTGTCTTCATGTAGACTTATCAAGTTCATGTGCTTACATTGGAATACACCAGGACTCTGTCGAAATTTTTTACACAACTCTTCGAAGCCTTCTGTATTTTCTTCACTAATATTATAATTTTTCCACATGGCTCTAGACCTTTCTTATTCTGTAACAAGGTTCAAAGGAAATATTCCACAAAATTAATACCTTTGCTTGACAAGTAATGTTGGGACATGCACATTACAGAAGTAACACCATGGACGAAACTCAAGCAAGACTTCTATAAGCATGGAAAACAATATGTACACACACACACACAGAACCAGGCCTATTCTACAAATTCATAAACAACAATTGCAGGTAAAGGATAACATCCAGAGCTTCAAAATGGGAAACAGATTCATGGAAAATGAAAAAGAAAATGTGTGAAACATTAAACGAAAAGTTCCAAAGTGTGTTTGTACAAAATGAAATCTTCAGAGAACCAGACACAATAAGAATTCCAGACAACAACATAGAGTGCATAAAGGTGTCTAGAGATAAAGTGGAAAAATATGCTCAAGGAGCTAAGTAAGAACAAAACAGTTGGCCCAGATAATTTCACCATAGGTTCTGAGAGAATGTGCATCTGAACTCAGCATTCCACTTCACCTGAATTTTCAGGCATCCCTGTGTACAGGAGTCGTAGCAAACGTGTGAAAAAAGGCCAACATAGTTCCAATCTACAAAACTGGCAGCAGGGAAGACCCCTCAATTATAGACCTGTATCGTTGACAAATGTAATACAGTAGTCAAAATATTGGAAAAAATAATTAAGACTAAATTGATAGAAAACCTGGAGACAAACGATATAATACCAGATTGTCAGTATGGTTTTCGATCTGGAAGATCCTGTGTAACAAATATACTCAGTTTTTATGATCGAGCCACAGAAATTTTACAGGAAAGAGATGGTTGGGTTGACTGCATCTATCTGGACCTAAAAAAGGCTTTTGACAGAGTTTCACATAAGAGGTTGTTCAGGAAACCAGAACACATTGGAGGGGTGACAGGTAAGCTGCTAACATGAACGAAAAATTTTCTGACTGATAGAAAAATGAGGGCAGTAATAAGAGGAAGTGAATTGGACTGGAGAAATGTCACAAGCGGAGTACCACAGGGTTCAGTTCTTGCACCAGTATTGTTCATTGTCTACATAAACGATCTATCAGATGAAATACAGAATTATATGAACATGTTGCAGGTGATGAGTCACAATAACGTGGCTAAAGTAAGTTGACCAGACCACACACTAGAAGGTGAAGGGACGACGACGTTTTGGTCCGTCCTAGACCATTCTCAAGTCGATTCTCAAATCAACTTGAAAATGGTCCAGGACGGACCGAAACGTCGTCGTCCCTTCACCTTCTAGTGTGTGGTCTGGTCAATGAAAATGTTTGCTGATGATGCTATGATAATAGGAAAATAATTAACTTAGATGATTGTTATACCCTTCAAGAAGATACCATTCCCTGATAGATGATTGTCATACCCTTCAGAATAAGTATATGGAGCTCCACTTGGCAACTGGAATTTAATGTAAATAAATGCCATGTTATGGAATGTGGAATAGGAGAACATAGACCTAGCACCTCAGCCAGAGCTGAGGCGCAACCCAGTATGGTGCAAAGCATCAAGACGGCGAAGAGTAGGAGAAGCAGACGAGTAAGCAGGGCAACCATAATCGAGTTTAGACAGGACAAGAGAGGAATGTAAAGCAAGGAGAGTGCGCCTATCCGCTCCCCAAGAAGTATGGGACAAAACCTTAAGGAGGGTAAGGGCCTTAGAGCATTCATCTCGCAGGTAAGATAGGGGCTGACCAAGACAAATGAGTGTCAAAGATTAACCCAAAAGCTTAGCGGAATCCTTGTACACAAGGGGTTGACCATAAAGCGACAAAGAGGGACGAAGAACGACAAGCTTCCGAGTAAAAAATTCATAGCACAAGTCTTAGACGTAGAGAACCGGAAGCCATGATCGGTGGTCCAAGACGACACGGGATCAATCGCAAGTTGAAGATGCTGTTAAAGGAGAGGCGAATCATCACCCCGACAGCAAAGGGTAAGATCGTCGACATAGCGGAGAAGACGCCAGAAGGAAGAGAGGAAAGAAGACCACTGAGGGCAACCAGAAAAAGAGTAATGCTCAGAACACTACCTTGGGGCACACCCTAGCATTGCTGAAAAGAGGTAGAGAGAGTGGTACCAAGCCTCACTTGAAAGGAACGATGAGAGAGGAAGCTTTGGAGAAAGAGAAGGAGATTACCATGAAGGCCAAAAGAATGAAGTTGGGACAGAATATGATATCGCGAAGTGGTGTCGTAAGCCTTTCCCAGGTCAAAAAGGACGGCAACAATGGAGGTCTTGGCAGCAAAAGCAGTACGAAAATAGACCAAGTTCACCAGGACATCTGTTGTACTCACCTAGTTGTGCTTGCGGGGGTTGAGTTTTGTCTCCTTGGTCCCGCCTTTCAACCGTCAATCAACTAACTGGTGTACAGATTTCTGAGCCTACTGGGCTCTATCATACCTATATTTGAAACTGTATGGAGTCAGCCTCCACCACATCACTTCCTAGTGCGTTCCATTTATTAACTACTCTGATACTGAAAAAATTCTTTCTAATGTCTCTGGGGCTCATCTGAGTACTAAGTTTCCACCTGTGTCCCTGTGTTTGTGTTCCACCTGTGGTGAAGAGTGTCTTTGTCCACCCTGTCAATTGCCCTGAGAATTTTGTAGGTGTTATCATGTCTCCCCTTACTGTTCTGTTTTCCAGGGATATGAGATTCAACTCCTTTAGCCTTTCCTCGTAGCTCATTCCTCTCAGTTTCGGGACGAGCCTGGTGGCATACCACTGAATCTTCTCTAACTTTGTCTTGTGTTTAACTAGGTATGGACTCCAGGCTGGAGCTGCATATTCCAGGATTGGTCTGACATAAGTGGTATACAGGGTCCTGAACAGGGTCCTGTTGTGCTGCGGCACTTGCGAAAACCATATTGAGAACGGGGTGTTCTAAGAACCACATCAGACGAACGTTAACCATACGTTCAAAGAGTTTGCAGATAACTCGTGAGGGCAAAAGGGCGAAAGTCCTTATGGGATGTCCCAAGAGACCCTGGTTTCCGAACAGGGAAGACAACGGCATCGAGTCAGTCCTCAGGGACTAACGACGACTCCCAGACCCGATTATACAGATTCAATAAATACTGAGACATGCACAGAGGGAGATGGCGAAGCATCTCATAATAAATACCATCGAAGCCCGCCGCCGTAGAACCGCAGAGGGCCAGGGCAGACTGAAATTCAAAGAGAGAGAAGAGATCATTATATGGAAGTCTGAGATGAGTGCAGAAATCTAAAGGACGAGATTCAAGGGCAGGTTTACGAAGAAGGAAAGATTGAGGAAGATGAGAACCAGAGCTAACAGAAGAAAAGTGGGAACCCAGTTCGGTCGCGACCTGGAATGGGTCTGCCACAAGAGAACCACGGAGGTGAAGAACCGGCGAGACATCGGGAATGAACTTACCAGCTATCTTGCGGACACGCTTCCAGATCTGCGGCAGAGGAGTTTCAGATGTAATGGTGGAAACATAAGAGTTCCAACATTCACGCTTAGCTGTACGGATGGCCCTACGGGCCACTGCACTTGCCTTCCGAAACAAAACAAAAGAATCAGCCATCTGCCGGCGGTGGTATCTCTTCCAGGCTGCATGCTTACAGCGGACAGCCTGAGCACAGTCCACATTCCACCAGGGAACCCATTCCGTGGTCCCCAAGAGAAAGAGCGAGGAATAGAGCAGAGGGCAGCGTCGAAGATGGTGTCATGAAAAATGAGAAGGGCGCGAGGGAGAGGCAGAAGGGAGAGGTCAGAGAGAACAGCACGGAGGGTAAATAGGTTTCAGTCTGCCTTAGCAAACTGCCTTTTAGGGAAAGAGAGGGGAGGGGTGAAGAGAGAAAAAGGTAACAAGGATGGGGAAATGGTCACTGCCATCAAGAACTTGCCACGTGAAATCTTAAGTAAAGAGACAACAAGCAGAGAGAAAGATCAAGACAGGAAAGGGTGCAAGTCTGAGAGTCCAAATGAGTGGGCTCACCAGAATTCAGAAGAGACAGAGAGAAGAGAGGATGAACGGTTCGAGAAGGCAACCCCAGGTGTTTGTCAGAACATCACCCCAGAGGGTATGTCGACAATTAAAACCACCCAGCAGGAGCACAGGCTCCGACAAGGAGTCCAGTAGGTGTTTAAGATCAGGAAGAGAAAGCGGGACATTTGGGGGGAGGTAAATGGAACAAACCTTATACCATTTACCCACAAAGACACGTGCAGCAGAACATTAAAGAGACAGAAAAAGTAGGGGGACGAAGGGAACATCAGAACGAATCAAAAGAGCAGAAGAGGAACGGGCCCCAGCAAAAGCCGGGGGAGGGGAGGGGAGAGAAAGAAATAGCCACGGAAGCGACCAGGACGAGCACCAAGCATCGGCTCCTGGAGATAGACACAAAGGGGCGAAAACTGCGAAATCAGAAATTGGCGTAATATCTGCGAATATTCCACTGAAGAATAGACATCTACAAGAAGAGAAAGGACAGCAACAGAGGACAATGAAGAAACAAAGAGGGAAAAAGGAACACAGCACATTAAAGAAGCGCAGGATCAGGATCAGCGTAGTCAGGGTTAGGGGTCATGGGTAAACTGAGTAAGGATGGAGGGATGGGAGCCGGAGGACTGACCAGAGGTGGACGAGCAGGGTCCGGAGGAGGAGGGAGGGGACAACCGAGAGTTAAGGACAGCAACAGGAGGGGCAGAAACCAGGGAGTGCACCTCAGCAAGGGCAGCAACCGAGGGGGAAGCGGGGGCCAAAGAAACCTCCATAGCAGGAACTGGGGGGCGCAACAACCGAAACGGGAGGGGATGGAGCGAGAGAGTCAGAGGTAGGGGCGAGGAAGAAAGCGAAGCCTTCTTACATGCTGGGGAGGAGGAAGAAGAGGAGCCAGGCTTTCGCTTCTGAATCAAAGAGACAGGCGTCCCAGCAACAATGTACTGGGCAACAGATTCAAGCGTCTCAATAGGAGAAGTAAAACGAGAGCAAACAACACGATGGCCGCTGGGAGAGTGATGGGCATCAGCCTGCACTGATAGACGGTGTGGAGAGCTAAGAGATGGAGGAGAAGGATGGGAAGGAGGAATGGAGGGAGACAAGGAAGAAGACACAGGAGACAAGACAGACTGGGTACAAAGAAGGGGAACCCCAGACAGAGAACCATGAGGGGGACCCATCGGGACAGAACTTAAAGGAACAGAGGAGGCAGTGGGCGTGTCTGGGTCTAATGCCTGGAAACGGTTGTGAGACTGAGGAAGGTGAGAAGGACGAGGAGAGGAAGAGCGCAACACGCGAGCATAAAAGACACCAGCGAAAGGGGGGAGATGGCGGACTTGGCGCCTCGCTTCGCCTCAGGAAAAGACAAACGTTCCCGGTGCTTCAAGGTGAGGATGGCAGCCTCAAGTTTGAAATGTACACACGCACAGCAGAAGGTATAGTAGGCCTCACCACAATTGAGGCAGTGAGCCCCGGGAGAAGTGCACTCCAACTTAGAGTGACCATCGTTCCCACACAAGGGACAAAGAGAGACTACTGGAGCACCGGAGAGCACCATGCCCAAACCTCCAGCACTTATTACAGAGCCGAGGAGAGGGGATGTACTCCTGGACGGAGCACCTGGCATTAGCAAGAATGACAGAGGGCGGAAAGGTCCTACCATCAAAGGTAATCCTAACAACCCGAAGGGGCTGATGGCAACGACCACAAGGGGAACGTGTACACGTGTCCACCTGGAGGACAGAATGCCCCTGAGCTTCAAGGATATGCCGAATATCTTCGTCGCAGTCCTGCAGATTCCTAACACCAGTTGCAACATGGGGTGGGAGGAGAATAGTGCCAACACTGGCATTCAACCGAGCGTTCTTGGAGACCCGAACAGGGGTCTTGCCAAGGCAGGATAAGGCAGCTAAGCGGGTGGCTGCATCCTGAGGAGCAGCAGCAACGACACGTGTACCAAGATAGGTGGGGTTGAAAGTAACAGGCATCTAATGAATCAACAAGGTGGTTATGGAGGGAGAAATCGTCAAGCGGCGTAGAATCCAGAGGGAGGAGATCAAAGTATTTGGCCCACGAAGCGGGACCAAACAAGGCCTAATACGCATCAGTACGGGAAGGGATCGAGCGAGTGCGGCCGTGGCGTGGACGGCGTTGAGAACCCCCAGAAAGAGAGAAGGGTTAAAAGGTGCAGTAGTCACAATGAGAGACTGAGCCGTGCCAGGGGACGAAGTGGTCACCACTGGGGGCTTGTGGCTCGACCCAACTACAGAGGAGGGAGGAGAGCCGAGGGGAGTAGTCAGGAAGGTCAAAGGAGGAGCAAGGTCGGGGCTCAATGCAGCGGGGGCTACAGAGCCCGGTCTTCCAACACGGTCCGACTCTGGGGCTTGGTCGTCCACCCCACGAGTCCGAGAAGGTATAAGAGGAACAGAATTTGACATAAGGACGAGAGGTCAGACTTTCATTCACGAATATGCCTCCACACCCACCACGGAGCCACAATTAGAGGCAGGACACCCAACAAGAGACATGTTCCTAATCTTGCCAGGGGTGTGTCATGAGTATACGCCTCACAAACGCCACCTCAAGAACCATCAGTCTGCCGAGATCGGGTTCAGTGACGAAGGGAGGATTGACAATAAAAGGGTCCCCCCTCGCTTGAGACGTTGGGTACTACAGTTCTACGGGTGCAAGAGTTCTATGGGTTCTACGGGTGCAAGAGTATGCCTCCTCAAACACCCAGGTGTCAAAACAAAAGAAGGCCGAAAGAATAATCAAAACAGGCAAAATGTCAGCGGGAAATGATAATTAGAAAGGAGAAGAAGGGGGGAGAAAAACGAAGGAAAAGGAAAAGGCATCCAGCAGAATTCATGAGGACAGCAGCAGGAGCATAAGGCCACAAAAGGACAGAGGACTGTCCCATGGAGCATCATACTCCGGCAGCCACCCACCAACCCCCTCACGGCAACAACGGGCTGGACAGGGAGGGGGGTTGTAACTATCTAAATAGTTACTTTTTGGTACTTGTTGGTACTTACTTTATGGTATTTACTTGTTATATTTTATGTGCTTACTTTACTTCCTTTTAGTTACTTTGGTACATACTCTAGGGTACATACATTCTTACTTATTTTATTTCTATGTTACTTACTATTGTGCTCCTTATGTTAGTTATATATTAGTTATCATATCTGATATGAAACTATTTTACTGAAGTTTACATGTAACTGTATTTTAAGTTTTCTGCAAGTTACTTAGTCTTATATTATTACCATATTTGTATTGTAATTTTGATTATGAATTTTACTATTAAAAGTCCCAATGCATGCCGTGTTTCCTTTAACTCAGAAACTATCAACTATTCTGTTACCCAAAGCAATATGTGCGCCAGTCGTCGTAACAATCAGACCATTGAATAGGAATGCCAGACGGCAATTATAATTCAAAATAGGGAAACAGAGCGTGATCCGGCGGCTCCCAGGTGAAGCAGGTATACAGACGTCGGCTGGTCTAGGTTAATGTTGTTTTAGATTCAGCTACTCGGAACAAAGCTTCCAATTAGCACGGGCTATGGCGAGCCCGTAGTGGACTTACCTGGCACAGAAACGGGGCTGTAACTGTCAAGGTTGAACTAGGAGTCCACCAGATTTAACATTTGCAGGAGCGAGCTGGTCGAGCGCGACCCTCAACGTAAACATTGCGTTCGTCAGCGCGCGGTGCTTTTTACGATTAACATTTTATCAATTACATTTTTGATTTTGCATCATAGTATATTACCATCACATAATATTTATATATTATGCTTTTATTATATAAAATTGTGAAAGAGGTGGATAATTAGGAGTTTTTCATATTTTAAGACGTAATAGATTAAATTAAAAGTTGTCTTGTTCGTGTACACAGCCTCTGATTTATTTATAAGCAATACGCCTGCAGGTGGTGATGTACAGCATTATACACGATTATAAACGCCATGGCACATAAATTTCGATCACTGATCTCAAATAAGGTATGCAGAGGAAATCTATGCTGATATGAATATTACCTAAAAGTTACAAATCGTCGATTCAATATCCAAATATTCAGTGACAATTATACAGTAGTTTGAAATTTTCTAGACAAGTCGCTCCAAGTTAGTCAAGCCAATTAGATTTCACGAATAATGCTGTTTGGTTAGGCACGGTAACAATTATTAGGGGAAGTCTAACACAGGTTAGGTTCTAGTTAGATATAAGAGCAGGTTGGTGAAAGATGCAACAGTAATGAGTAAAGTGTTAAATCATTACTCTGCCTCAGCTTTTATGTGAGGCCCTAGCCAACCTTCTCCAATCTAATTTAACAAATTGAAGTATTAAAAATATACAAATGAACATACTCAGAAGCACAAAGAAACACTGACACTAACAAGAATATTCAGTAAATGGTTCACCTTATAGTTCCCACAGTCATGGACAGGAAGCATGTTGGGATTATCGAGGTCTCCTTGGGGCCAACTACTGACCTTCCCCATGATGTAACCCACGACAGTTGGCTAATGTACTGCTAGGTGAATAGAGGCATAAGATGACAGGAAACATTTCCCAAATGTTTCCATAATATTTAAGAGACTGAACCCCAGGATACACTGTTGTGATGTAGACCACTGCCTGAAGGGTGGAAGGTCCCGGTAGTACAGTCGGATTCATTCTTGACTCACTCAGAAATTCTGGGTTCGAATCCCAGGCAAGACAGAAATGATTGGGGATGTTTTCTATCACCTAATGCTACTATTCACTTAGCAGTAAATAGGCACCCAGGAGTTAATCAGCTTGTTGTGGTGGTTTTATCCTGGAGAGTTAGTAATAGTTATGTATCCTGGGGAGTCGGTAATTCGACCTTGAGGGGGGGACCCCTCAATATAAGCCTAACATATACACTGGTTATCTGTCTTCCGAAAGTGAATTAATTATTATTCCAGATGTCAAACAAATCTCATGCTGCATACTGCTGTTTGATTCTAGCCTAATGTCAATTCTGTATATGGCATGATATATAGAATTTATCATGCCATATATATAGAATTGACTTGTAACATCATTTCCTTCAGAAACATTCTGGTCTTATAAATCTTATGACATTTTAAATGTGCGTACTCAGTGCAGTTGGTAACAGTGTAGTAACTTGGATTTGTATTCTAACCTTTGGGTTATCTTGAGATGATTTGATTGGTTTTGATTTCGAGGCTTAGCATCCCCACGGCCCGGTCTTCGACCAGGCCTCCTTTTTGTTAACACCCCCCCCAGGAAGCAGCCCGTAGCAGCAGTCTAACTCCCAGGTACCTATTTACTGCTAGATAACAGGGGCATCAGGGTGAAAGAAACATTTTGACCATTTGTCTCTGCCTCCACTGGGAATTGAACCCGGAACCTCAGGACTACGAATCCGAAGCGCTGTCCACTCAGCTGTCAAGCGTCAGGTTTGAAGTTAAGAGTGGAGAAATGCCACTAGTGATGTACAAAATAGTTCCATTGGGATCTATTTAGGGGCCTTTCTTGCTCATAATATATGTCAACAACCTAGGTTTTGGGGTAAACAGTAATATTTTTAAATTTGGTTCCTCTTATGGTTCCACATTGTCTGGGACAGGAAGCCTTTTTGGATCAATAAGGCCCCCAAGGGATAATACCAATGTGGAGCTAATAATAAATTTGAAAGAGGACTCGACAGAACTTCACGGAGACACTCCAGAACTGTTCAGAAAAGTTGCAGATGCAATTAAGAGTAAATAAGTGCACATTTCTAAACTTGTGAAATATCTGTGGCACTGTTTTTCAGGTGAACTATGTAAATTTGGGTATATTGAGTTGTGAAAGGGACTTTGGTGTCATTGTCCCATTTCAGACCCCTATTTAGATTAATTCCAATTTTGTTCACTGTATTCTAGACTGTACAGTGATTTTCTTGAGAAAATCCTATGCAGGATGACCAGACAGCTCTGGTATTTGTGACCTACCATATGAGGCGAAGTTGAGGACGTTTGGTCTTTATTTCCTGGAGAAGTGTGGGGCATGGGAGGACATGATTGAAATCTTTCAGTGGATGAGCAGTATTAACATGGAATATATAAGCAATGGGTTCATAGAATTACCAAAGCTACTCAAAGCCACCCAAAGCCTTCTTAAATTACATAATTTTCATTGGAAATACAATATAACATACAGTATTTGCTTATTTTAATGTTGGTGTTGAATGTAGAAAGTGAAAAAACATAATAAGATCATTTTATAATGAAATAAGTCCAAAGTTGAAAGTGGGTGACAGCAATAAAAGTTGAGGATTTGAGTGCCTTGTGGGCTTTTATGGCCATCACACACCACCTATTTTGATCTTATTTCAATATATTTCAAATTAATTTTTTTTTTTTTGCATTTTACATTCAGCACCAACATTATAGTAAGCAAGTATGTATGTTATATTTCCTCTTTACTTAAGTAATTTAAGAAAACATTGAGTTGCTTTGGGTTACTCTGTGGACTGTATTACATGATTTACCTGAGGGCCTCGATGAGGACAGGATGCTGGCAGCTTGTCGAAGGGCCCCCCATTTGCCTTGATGATCTTTACCAGGTATATTTTAAAACTCGGCATTTTGGCTTTTACAGCTTTGGTGGGTAGGTAGTTCCATGGGTTAATAACCCTGTGGGTGAAAAAGCATCTCCTGTTCTCCGTCCTACATTGTGGCTTGAGCTTGAAACCGTTGCTCCTTGTATGTGTTACACCTGGCCTTCTGAAGAAAATATCCAGATCAACATCCTCTAGCTTGTTCAGTATTTTAAAAGTGTCAATGAGATCTGCCCTGTTATGCCTGGTTTGCAGTGTTGTCAGCCCTGTGGCCTTCAAGCGTTCCTGATATGAAAGATGACTTAGCTCTGGAATGACTTTTGTTACCCGGTGTTGTATCTTCTCCAGAGCAGCTAATGTCCTTCTGAAAAGGAGATCTCCATGTTTGGATACAGTAATCCAAATGGGGCACACCAGAAATTTATACAGTTGAACCATTACTTTCATTTTCTTATAGTCAAAAGTATGCTTGATTTTCCCAAGAGTTTTGTTAGCTTTCTGACTACTACTCCCGCCTGTTATGCAAGTTTTAATGAGTAGTGGATTTTGACTCTAAGGTCCTTTTCTTCATCAATCTGCTGTTATGTAATGCTATTAATTTGGTAGTCGTGGCATGGGTTGTTGTAACCCAGGTGCATAGTCTTGCATTTATCGATATTAAAAAGCATTTGCCAGTCTTCTGAATACCGTCTCCACTCGATTATCTGAACTATATGGGAAGGACCCCCAGCCGGATAATCACGTGTTCCGGATAATGGTACTTTTTCCCCTCTGAGTCCAAAAGTGACCATTTCCAACTATTTTTATACTACAAACAACATAATTTGAATTGCCTTGCCACATATAATTATTAAATATTCAACTAGAAACATCAACTTACCTTGTTATTAAACAACGTCTTTATTGATGCCACACATCTTGAAGTTAAGAATTCTTGACAATTTCATTAACCAAAGTTAGTTTTGACTGCCAGCTGCTGAAGTCTCACTGGTTGAAGGCTCTTGGCTTGCCTGTGATGTCTCACTTGTTGAAGGCGCGTGGCTTGCCTGTGACGCCTCACTTGTTGAAGGCGTTTGGCTTGCCTGTGATGCCTCACTTGTTGAAGACGCTTGGCTTGCCTGTGACGCCTCACTTGTTGAAGGCGCTTGGGTTGATTTTCTTACCATATCAGAATCAAGTTTAGCTTGCCTCCTGTGTTCATTGGCCTGTTGTATGATCAGCTCTTTGGTTCGCCTCAGGCTTCACTTCACTTGAAGTTGACTGGCCATTTTCACAAAGTTGTATAACATGTAACTTGTCTTTAATTGTTAGAACAACCTTCTTCCTCTTAACACCTCCAGAACGTTTGATGCTGCTACCAGACATAGCCTTGGCCAAAAATGTTCAAAGTTACTATGAAAATAAAAAAATTATTTAAAAAATATTTCACTAATGGCGCAGCACTGTGGTATAACACGAGGGACGGGAGCACATCGGTTGACCAGGATTGGACACGTCCACCTGGGGCAGCTATAACACGTTACATAGGCCGCCAGGAGGAAAAAACTCACAATATTTTTTAAGGAAACTTCAGCCTGTGCAAATTGTTTTTAGGAAACTTATATATTTGTTATTACATAATTACTAGCATTTCTTTTATTTTTGGCCATGATGAAGTGTTCTCAAATTAATGGTAATTCCTGTACTGTAGTGTATAGGCCCCTCCACATCCCCCTTATCCCCTCAGGTGGTCCCACCTAATGTTCCCCCTCTCTCCCGACACCACCCACCCACCCCACCCCCTCCTCCACCATGCACCTCGAGTCACAGCCAGACGGGATTAATACGGTACGGCCGCCCCATGCCTTTTAAATCCGGACAATTCAATGATTATCCGGGTGACTGTGTAGATAGTGTAACATTGGCAGCAAGTTAACCGGCTCTGATTTTTTGTCCGGCTAAACCATCTTTCATCCGGCTCCCATGGCCATTTTGGCCGGATATTGAGAACTTTATCCGGTCACGATTTTGGCCGTATAAAGGCGTCTTCCGGATGTTCGATTCCTGGATAATCGAGTAGTTACAGTATTTGTGGCGTTCATGTTATTACTTGAATGACCTGGGCAACAAGTAATGTTGCTTAATATATAGCTCGCTTTTAGTATTTATCTTGTCAGTAGTTAGTAGAAAAATAAGTGGCAATGTTTTATTTCGGTTATTGTTTGTAGAGGTGTTTATTGAGTTTATTGTTTATTGTTTTGTGTAATAGTTGATTTTATGGTGGTGGCTCAAGTTGGATTTGCCTCTGTGTTCCTTCCTTAACTATGTGGTCAGACTACTGTATTTGAGAAATGTTGTTGTTCATTGTGGGTGAAAAAGTCATTAGAGATATTGGATGAAATATATTCCTGTTGACCCCCTTGTACTGTATTGTACGCCACTGGGTCAAATTTAATTTTATGCTATTTGTATAGAGTTTATATATTTACTAATAATTATTCAATGTATTTCTTAGAATGCACTTGCTAAAGAACAGTAACTATAATAAAACACCTCACTTGAAAAATACATAAACATACTTAGTATTTTATGTACAGTAATACAATATGATACAAAGATTTCATATTAGCAAATGTGGACATTTACATCCATAGCATTATCAGTTTAATACTGCACTCTAATAATACTGTAATTTACATGACAGATCATACAGGCCATAAGTGGTTTTCCAATTGGAGGCAGGGGCCTGAAACCATCTTCGCTTATTCCGTGTGTTCAGGTATGTCATATTCTGTATGCTCAATTAACTAATTAGTGTTTGTTAAAGACATGTAAGATTCATTCATATTTCTCCAGTTAATATATCTTTAATCCATTGACTAAAATTTTGAGTAGTATTCTACTTTTTGAAGAACTTTTCACAGGATTGTATTAGTACTGTATATTAATAATAAATCTTGAAAGATTTTCTCAGGATAGTTAAGTTTAATTATTGAATATATTTCTTCTATTCAAGTTTGAGCCAAAGACTGGTTCACAGCCTGAATTTCGAGTATCCTTAATGACTCTCCAGAAAAAAGGACTTATACATGCAAATGATCCTGATAATCTGTGAGTATTACAGTTTTTTTCTAAATTATTGCTTAATGATTGTGTTCAGTAACAAATAATTGTATTGGTGGATGGGCTGGCTTTTAAGCTAACTAGCTGTCTGACTGAAATATGGGCTGGCTGCTTGGCATGCTGGCTGGCTGGAGCCGGCAGGCTGGCTGGAGCCGGCAGGCTGGCTGGAGCCGGCAGGCTGGCTGGAGCCGGCAGGCTAGCTGGAGCCGGCAGGCTGGCTGGAGCCGGCAGGCTGGCTGGAGCTGGCAGGCTCGCTGGAGCCGGCAGGCTGGCTGGAGCCGGCAGGCTGGCTGGAGCCGGCAGGCTGGCAGGCATTAATATCAGATGAGACAGAGGAATTACATTTACATAAGGCTCTAGCCTTGTTGCTTTTAGATAAAGTTTCCCAGAACAGTCGCTGGTCAGCACCAAAAACTAAAAAAAAATATATACTGTATACAGGTGCTTGGTATTTATGGGAATAGTGTTGTAGATTTTTGTAACAAATTACTGAGTAATGTAATTGGCCTTTTGCAGTTTCTTGAATCTTGTGATCTTTTCTCTAATAGATATAGTATCTTGTTTTATATATAAATTAAATTTTTATGTACATTACTAGAGTACAGTTTAGGGCATTTTGATAAATTGCAGATATTTTCCAGTACTCAAATGTATATAATGTTTGTTAAATCTTAAAAATGCTCCTGTGACTATTCAAGGGTAACAAGGCAACTGTATAGATCTGTAAAGCTGCATTTATTTAAAAATGTTTTTTGAAGACACTCAACCCACAAACCTGAAAATAAAAGAATTGACTGTTTCTGTCCATCCTGGACCAAAACTTAATAAATTTTTGTATTTTCATATATGCGGGTTGGTGGTTTAATTTTCAGTCACATTACTGTGACTGCATGTTTTTTCTGGGGGGAGCCCCGTCGGCTTCCTGGAGCTATACCAGGCTGATATGCTAATGTCAGACTTTGGCATCAGTCATGTGTATGGAGTTTTTAGTATGGCCATGGCCCCTACCGGGGACCATGGCCAGAACCTGGCCCCCTCAGAGAGGCAAGGGAAGCAATGGCCTATAGAAACCCCCGTGTGGTTGGAAGCATTCTATGTCTGGCATCGACTGGGTCAAACATCCAGAAAGGTAAGCATCCCAAAACAAACCCCTATTCTGGTACAAATTGCTACCAAAAGCCGAACTAGTAGATAGAACTCCCCAACAGAAAACAAGCAAACAAGTATGATGTCACACATCACCGCGCCTCTGTCTGCGCAGCTTCCCCCTTCCCGGGAGGGGGAAGGGGGAGCCCCAGACCTCTCACGTCGGCTATCCACCCGTTGGTTCTTTGGCTGATGCTAAAGGCACTGGTTGTGTGCTCCGGCTCCAGTGGTTGATTCAGCACTGTGCCTAGAGTGTGGTGTCTGTCTTCTAGGTGGTGTGTGAGCTGGGAGTGAGTCTCCAGTACTCGGGCTGCATGCGCCTAGGGTTGCCTTCCCTGGGTGCCCTGTAAGTACTGTACTGCCCTTGGGGCTTGGGGTTACCTTCCACAAGTTCCTTGGGTCCTGCTTCTGCTAGGCCGTCTACTTTTTGGTTTTCGGCCGCCCATTGTGTGATGGGGGGTTCTGTCTCCCTTGTTCGCCTTAGGGTAAGGGGCAGTTTTGCACTGGTAGGGGCGCAGGGTACTGCACAGGTTGTTTTCACCAATCATAGCGGCCGGCTCTGTTCTGCCTGGGTACGCTGTCCTCTTGCGGGGGTTGTCTTTTTCCTTTTTGTTTGTCTACCTGGTGGGGGTCTGCCTTTGGTTCTTGCCCCCCTTTGTACTGGATTCTCTTCCATCTTCCGGTGGTTTCCTCCTGCTAGGTCCCCGTGAGTGTATACGTCCCGGGGGTTTAGTTCTTAGAAAGTTGTTTGGTAGACATGGGCACCAGTTAGCAGTACCCTGCCTGGGATTACCTGAGCGCGAGTCCTCTTATAGTAAACACTCAGGACCCTGGGAAATCCCTAGGGGGAGCGTGAGCACAATGAATGTGGCCCTGGAGTCCCCCCCCCCCCTCGCTTTGTGCGAGTTTGAGGGTTGCTCTGTCCCCTTGTCTCAGGGTGACACTCGCTGTTTTGCCTCCGTCAGCTGCCTGTGGGGTCGGTGACACCTTCGGCCCAGGGTCTTGCGAGTTTTGTTGCTTGCTGTGCTCGGTTACCCAGTCTTCTGCTGACTAAGTGGGTGCAGGCAGCACAGGTGTTGCACGTTGAGTTTCGGTGGCAACGCGCTAGGTTGTTTGTTCCCTGGAAGCCCTGAGGCTGCCTCGTTTTGGTTGGTGGTCTTGTCGGGGCCCCCCCCCCTTCCTCCCTGCATCCGGGTCTTTTCCGTCTGTAGGTCCGGGGGTCAAGGCGGAGCTTCCATGGTGCTTGGTTGGTCGGGCCTGGTGTGCGTCGTGTTTTGTGTTCAGTTGCGGCCCTCTGCTGTTGTTTGCGCGCTGCGGCTACTGTGTCCTGGGTGCACTTTCGGTTGCTCCAGTTCCGTTCTTCCCTGTTCGCGGGAGAAGGTGTCTCGTGTCGTCCACAGTGTTCTTGCGGCTAGCCAGCCTGTGTTTTTTGCCCGTGTAGTTCGTGGTTTTGCTGCTCTTGCTGCCGTCTTGGCAGCGTGTCCTTGCTGACTTCAAGCACGGGGCTTTTTGGTGGTCATACAGGGGCCTGGCTGCTCCTTGTCTCGTGTCATTCCCGGGCTCGTTTGGGCCTGTGTCGCCTTGGGTTGGCGGTTGCAGCCAGTTGTCTCACTTTCCATTGAGGGGTGCGTGGTGTTCGCCTTCTGGATCCATCCCTTTGACCTTCCTCTGTGGGTAGTTAGCTCCGGGGAGCCGACGGGGCTCCCCCCAGAAAACCAACGTTGAATATAATGAAACGCCATTTTCTGGGTGAGACCCGGAGGCTCCCCGGCAACCCTCCCTCCCTATGATCGGCGGTTTTTCGCGTGTTTTGACATCCAGCCTCAGAATTGATGGGTGGATAGCCAGCATCAGAGGTCTGGGGCTCCCCTTTCCCCCTCCCGGGGAGGGGGGAGCTGCGTAGACAGAGGTGCGGTGACGTGTGATGTCATACTTGTTTGCTTGTTTTATTTTGGGAGTTCTATCCACTAGTTCGGCTTTTGGTAGCAGTTTTTACCAGAATAGGGGTTTGTTTTGGGATGCTTACATTTCTGGTTGTTTGACCTGGTCGATGGCAGACATAGAATGCTTCCAACCACACGGGGGTTTCTATAGGCCATTGCTCCCCTTGCCTCTCTGAGAGGGCCAGGTTCTGGCCGTGGTCCCCGATAGGCCCTAAGAACTCCATACACATGACTGATGCCAAAGTCTGACATTAGCATATCAGCCTGGTATAGCTCCTGAGAGCCTCCGGGTCTCACCTAGAAAATGGCGTTTCATTACATTCAACGCTGGTTTTTTTACTGTGCATTATTGCCTAAGTGTAATTACCTAATTTTAGTTACAGGAAAAGAGCCAAGCTTATGGTATCCCATCTTCCTTATACTGTACTGCATTCTTTCTCATACAGGGTTTTGAAGCTTCCATTGATGTTGGTACACAATACCCTCTTGTAATTTGTTCCATCTCTCAACCACTCAGTTTGCAAAACATTTTCTCTTAAATATTTATAACACCTATGTTACTGTAGCTTGTACATGTTGTTCTCAATATTGTGAGTTTCAAGAGTTCCTCCTTATTGGTGTTATCATTTCCCATCATGATTTTATAGGTCTGAATTTCATATATTTTATCATTTTATCTGTGTATTTTTCTGAGTTGTTCACTAAACAATTTCTGCACATTCTGTTTGGCATTCTTAAGCATTTCTCCTTCCATATACTTGAAGGCTGTTACAGTCTGTAATTATCTCAGATGATGATTTCAATGTGATCCTTTAGTGATAATTTACATTCAAGGATCTTCCCTAAATCTCTCATTGACCAAATTCTTCAGAGGCATTCTACATAATTTATATGCTGAACATGGCTTTCTCCTACTTATCCCAAACTCCAGTACATCATTTGTTAATATTAAATTACATTAACAATCTCTGATTAATCCATTGCATGTTTTGTTTAGAATTTTTATGGGATTGGCAATCTTTTAGTTTTCTGGGGGAAATCCTTCGGCATCCCGGAGCTATCCCGGCTGATATCGATATACTGTATTAGACTTTGGCATCAGTCATGTGAATGAAGTTCTTAGGTCTACTGGGGACCACGAGCCAGAACCTTGCCCCCCTCAGAGAGGTACGAGGAGCAATGGCCTATGGAAACCCCCATATGGTTGGAACATTCAGTGTCTGCCATCGACCGAGTCAGGCACTCAGAAAGGTAAGCGTCCCAAAACAAACCCCTTTTCTGGTTAAAATATTACTACTGAAAGCCGAACTATTGGACAGAACTCCCCAAGTGAAAATGAGCAAACGAGCATGACGTCACCACGTCATCGCGCTGCTGTCTCAGCAAACCCCCCCTCCCTGGGAGGGGGAAGGGGGGAGCCCCAGACCCCTCACGCCGGCTATCCACCCCACAGTTTTATGGTTGATGTGGTTCGCAACAGTCGTGTGAATCTGGCTCCTGTTTTCTGCCCTATGGCTCTGTGCCTTGTGGTGTAGCACTGTTTTCTGGTGGTATGTGAGCCAGGAGTAATCTCACAAGTATTCGGGTTGCATGCGCCTAGGGTCCCCGTCCCTTGGTGCCTAGTAAGTACTGCCCTTGGGGCTTGGGGCCATCTTCCACAAGTGACCTTGGGGGCTACCTCCATAAGGTCTTTTGCTGGTCGGTGATTGACTGCCCTTGGAGTCAGCTGGGGTGTTTCCTTCACTCGTTTGCCTCTAGGTGGGGGTCGTTTTCGTCACTGGTTGGGGCTCAGGGTACTGTGCAGCTAGTTGTCACCTCATAGCAGCCGGTTCTGTTTCACCTGGGTACGTTGTTCTCTTGCTGGGGTTTTTCTTTTGTTTTTCTGCCTGGTGGGGGGTC